TTGTACATAGTAACAGCCACATTGTGCAATGACCGACTTTGATAGACTTAACTCTTCATAGCAATGCAAGGATCCAAGACAACTCCAAAAGACTCATGATGGAAAATGCTATCCACATCCAGAGAAAGAACTATGGAGTCTGAATGCAAATGGAAGCATACTATTTGTTCTCCTTTTCTTTTGTTGTTTTGTTTTATTGCTTCATTCTCGTGGTACCTCCCATCAGTTCTAATTCTAATTCATATCATGACTAATATGAAAATATGCTTAATATAAATGTATAAGTACAGCCTATATCAGATTGCATTCTGCCTTGGGGTAAGAGAGGGGTGAGATGGGGAGAAAATTTAAAACTCAAAAATTTATGGATATGAATGTTGAAAACTAAAAATAAACCAATAAATCAATAAAGACCTAAACTAAAAAACAAACAAACAAGCAAAAAAACCATCCCCTCTCCTTCCATGAGTTCATTTAAGTCCAGATAGCATGTGTAGGAATTTTCATTCAATTTTTTCACATTTCCTCTTTCCTAGTCTTGATTAAAAAAAAGAAAAAGCTTTTCAATCTGGAATGAGATGAGGGTCAGGACAGCCAACTGTACTTGGCCTTAAACCTTTGTCTCACAGGTGCTTGAGTGTCCCTGGTTTGTTTGCACATTTGCTGTTCTAAAATGTAAGAATTTGGCTTTTGGAGTGGGGACTTTGCTGAAGATTAGCTTTGCTCTCTGAGAACTGTCTTGCACCATAGCCATAAATTGAAATATTTTCAGAGGAGGAGATTTCCCATCAGAGGCCGGCCTCTCCCTCCTACAGGCTCCTGCACAAGCTCCTTCCAAATGCTGACGCAGCCTGATATAAGTGGGTTTATGATTTGGGAAAACCAAGTATATATAATAGTGAAGATCTTGATTGCTCAAGGACCCAACCAAGGCTCAGCATATTTGTAAGCTGGGATAGCCCTTTGGCTTAAGCGAAAGATTGGCTTTCTTGCCCAAGTCTTACCACCCCCCCCCATCTTTCTCTTCACCCCTAGCAAAGTATGGACTTGATATCAAAGATAGCTCCTACAACCCAAATTTCTAGAGTTTTAGCTACACCAGTGGTGAATTCTACTACCCTGACTATTATTAACAAAAGTTAAAATATTAAAGGACAATGACCAAACTGCTCGTCTTCTCTGGTTTAAATTGTATGTTTCATATTCATCACCATCATTGTCGTTTAAATGTATCTAGTTATCTTCATCTAAAAGGTTACCAAGGACCTTTTGTTACCTGGAGGCAAATATTACTATTCAAATTTTACAGATGGAAAAACAATCAGAGCAAGTTATATGATTTACTGAAAGTCCCTAAGAGAGACACTGAGGATTCTGGGAACTATGTCTAAGATATCAATTACAGGTCAGATCCTGCTATGGTAAAAAATCTTTGGTTAATGAAAAGATTTTTAAAGCCCCAGTTCATTTATTTTTAGCAACACTGGGCACAATAAAATACTAAAATATGCTTTGGGCAATTCTAAACCCCTCAGCCAAAAAGAATTATACCTCTAGTTTTGCAACTTCAGTTTGGTTTAGAAGAGCAAATTCACAGGTCCAAAGGTCTGGAGATGGAAGGACTTTGGAAGTCATCTATTACACACCCTTCTTTTTGCAAATGAAGAAGCAGACTTAGAGTAACAAAGTTAAGTGACTTGTTCAAGGTAACACAAGTAGCGAGGAAGGGAGCAAGGATTCAGATTCAGGTCCTACAGCTTTCAAGTTCAGCACTCTCCCCACTGGGCATAACAGGTTCAGTTTTATATTTCACGGTCAGGTCAGTTAGGTCATTGACATAGGACACTGTGTTGCTCAACTCAGCAATGTAAGTCTGGGTTAAATTTTTTCTGAAAAACAAATAAATTCCTCCTTGCGTCAGTTTCTTCCATGGAAAATGAAGATGATTTCTGTTACTTCTTTATAGAAATATTTGGAATTCAAGAGAGTAAAAATAATTAAAAAAAAAACATTGAGTTTCCTGGTTGGAAAAGTATTAGACAAAAGATGTTACTAAATACTAGTACCGGGGATTCAACTTCACATACTTGCTTATATGCCTTTGTTGAGAGGGTTACTAAGTTTATAATTGAGCCATTATTTCAAAAAGTGAAATAATATGTCTGTTCTCTCCCTATTTCCTGCCCTCAACTGACCTCCACCAACCCTTCCTCATCCCTTCAACAATTTCCCAATGTTTTCTTAAAATTCAAGTCACTGTTACATAAAGTCAAATCAGAAACATCCTTCCTCTTAGTTCTGTCCAGCATTGTCAATCATACATCCAGGGTCTGTTCGGTTCCAAGCCACCTGATTTGTGTGGGGCCAGTACGGCTCGCTGAATCAGGTTAAGCAGCTTGCCAAACTGGGACACGTATTGCATTTCTGAAAACCCCTTGCCCTCATTTATCAGCGTGCATCAAAACAGAGGAAGCTAAACACTTGCCTGAGGGATGTGCAGAGTTCAGATGTGTGATAAGATACTGACATCACACCCTTAGTGTTTTTCCAAAGACCAGTCATCCATAAGAATTTTTAGTCTTGCTTGGGGCCTAGTATCAGCTGAGAAGGCAGAGCAAGAGACTTGGTTAATTTGAGAGATGTCTTTGTCATTTTTTAAGAGTCTGTCATCTTTACTCTTGTAGTAGTATAACATTTTTAAGTCTTCACTGTTGGAAATGTCTCCTCAAGTTTGCTTGCCAGTATTTCAGTAATGGCAGTTGGTGCTGGGGAAAGCATTGTCCTTTGGATAAACCCTAACTCACCCACTCAGAGACCATCGAGCAGTTTTACCCTATCTCCTATGACTAAAGTAAGGGGCAGTAGAAAGAGTGCTGGAATGTCCTTAGAATTGTTTCCTCATCTGTGAAATGGGTGAGTTGGACGAAAAGACTTCAAAGTCCCTTCTACTTCGAAGCCTATGATTCTATGACCCTGTGATTCCTGAGTATGACTTCATCTTTCTATCCCATGGGGTTAAGAGACTCATAGATTACTATTATCCCTGTCCCCTCCAAAACAAAATCATGATCAACTGATTTAAGTTTTCTAGTAAATTAGGGTAACAGGAAAAACCAAATGGATAAAGAATATTCCTGGACTATTTATAGAGTTGAATGGGCAGCCCATTAAGCAGGTCCATCATTACATAAATTAAGCTCAGGATTGGGTCATTATGGATTAGAGGACAGATCTATAAAGGTTTTATTACAAATCCTAATTTATAGACAGCCTTTATGAGACCTGATAAAGTTAAGGATTATTTCTGATTCAAAAGATAAATATGTTAGACAGACTAGACATGTAAAGTGACTGGAGTTGGGGTAAAGGGAAAGGACTATTCTGGTTTCTGAACTTAAGAAATCTCAAGGAACTTCAAATACATGTGCTGTCTACAATGATATGGAAAATCATATCAAATTATTTAGCTATGGAGGTTTTTATCCAAACTAATCCCATAAACACTTATTAATCACCTACTCGGGGCAAGGCACTGTGCTGGACGTTAAAGATATGGAAGGGAAACATGAAAAGTAGTCCCTGCCTTCAAGGAACTTGCATTCCTCTGTGGGGATACAACATGTAAATAGATATATACACGTGATACTTTAAGGAAGGAGAAAGCACTAACAATTAAAAGAATCAGGTAGCTAGGTGGCGCAGTGGTTAGAGCTCTGGGCCTAGATTCAGAAAGACCTGAATTCAAATCTAACCTCAAATACTTTATAGCTGTGGAAGCCTGGAAAAGTCACTGAACTTCAGTTTACCTCAGTTTTCTCATCTGTAAAATGGGGATAATAGAAGCACCTACCTCCCAGGTAGGAAGATCAAATGAGATAATAATTACTATATAATGTTAGCCATGATCATCATTATTATTAATTAGGAAAGGTTTACCATAAGAAATTACATGTGAGGGGAACCATAACCTGAACTTCATTCTATGGGTTGTTATGCCATAATGCCAAAATAATGCCTGCTTTTATAAAGTTGTAGAGTAGACGGATGGTGTCAGTGGTTTTAAGTATAAATGCCTGGATAGTGATTAGAAGGTATACTTGGCATTTGTGTGATTGTTTTCGTGGTGGCTAAACTCAAGAACCATAGTATTTACTTTGAATCTAGGCAATGTGGTGCATGATGGTTTAAAGATAAGCTTTAGAATGAGGAAAACTTGGGTTCAAGTTTTAACACATATTAGTGGTAAGATCTTAGACAAGTCATTGCCTTGGGTGATGCTCTAAGATCTACCTATCATAAAGTGACGGAGGAGTTGCTCATCTGCTTTGGTGCAGAACGGCTCCATACTATGAGTTCCTTACACTGATGAAATCTCAAGTCTGAATACCGCCCCATCCAAAAAAAATTCTTCAACTTGTTAACTTTGTGGCTATCAGCATAATCCCTGCAGGTGCTTTCTAAACAATGAATAAAAAATGGACTTATATCTATACATGTCCAATTTTTGGTTAATTTCAGGTACTTCTGGATCCAGTTATGTGACAGCTGCTCTAGGGAACACTTGGAGTCACAGTGTGAACACCAGGCTGATTCTCAGATACCTTGACTCGAAGAGAAGACAGGTAAACCCCTTGTCTGTAATGTATCTTATATTCATTCCCTTGTTTGTATTACATTTCCACAATGCTAGAGCCAGTCCTCATAACATCTCACCTGCCTCCTATTTGGTCTCTTTACCTCTACTTTCCTCTTTTTTCTCACACTGTACAGTACTGTCTCATCAAACTTGCTAATACACAGTTCTGATTACATAGGTCAACACTCAAAAACTCCATTGATCCCTCATTAATAATAGCTAAGTATATAGCATTTACTATGTGCCAGATACTTTGATTATCTCATTTGATCCTGACAGCAACCCTAGGAGATAGGTGGTATTATTATCCCCATTTTACAGAAGAAGAAACTGAGGCAAAATAGAGTGGTTCGGTGACTTGTCCTGAATCATAAAACAAGTAAATATGTGAAGCTGGATTTGAACTCGGGTCCTCCTGACTACAGGCCTGGGACTCTATCCACTGTGCCACCTACAAAACAAATTCCAAACAAAACTCTCCACGATCTGGTTGCAACCTACCTTTCCATACTCACATTCTTTTGAGTAAGGCAAGGGGGGAAAGGAAGGGAAGGAAATAAACATTTATTAAGCACCTACTGTGTGCCAGGGAGCTAGAGTAGGAGGACAGTAGCAGTTGAGGGGATGAAGCAAGGCTTTCTCTTAAAGGAAGAGAGGAATTCTCTAAGGTGGAGATGAGTAAAGAGCGAAGTACAGGTCTGTGGACAGCCAATAGAAAGGTAAAGAAGAAACACCCTCCTATGTTTGTTTCCTCTCTTCATGTCCTGCTCATTCTCCACCCCTTGCAATCTGTCTTTTGACTCCATCACTCAACTGAAACTGCTCCCTCTAATTTTACCAATGATCTCTTAATTTCCAAATCCTATGAGTTTTTCCAATCCTCATCCTTCTTAACTGTCAGCCACTTTTGACACCCTTGACCACACCTTCCTTCTCTCTCCTTCCTCAGCTTTTGTGGCTTTGCTGGTTCTCCTGGTTCTCCTCCTGCCTGTTTGACAGCATGTTCTCTATCTTCTTGGAAGGATCATCATTGAGTTCCCACCTCCTAAGTGCAAGTGGCCCCAGGGCTGTCCCAGTCCTTCTCTTCTTTCCCTAGACTCTTTCTTTTGGTGATTCCATCAACATCCCAGATTACTCTCAAAGGATGATAATGATGAAGCATTTATTAAGCACTTACTATGTGCTATGCAGTGTGCTAAGCATGGGGTAGGAGTGGGAGTGGGAGTGTATGATACAAATGAAAGTGTGCAAGACAGTCACTGTCCCCAAAAATCTTACCTTCTACAAGGGGAAGTTAGAGCTATAAGGATTGGGAGGAAGGGAGGAATGTGTGCGGCAGCATCATGATTTGGAAACAATTGATAAGTGAAGTGGAGGTCGGTTGGAAATTGAGAGGATGCCCATCAATTGGGGAATGACTGAACAAGTTGTGGTATATGAATGTAATGGAATACTATTATGCTGTAAGAAATGATGAGCAGGCAGACTTCAGAAAAACCTGGAAAGACTTGTATGGTCTGATGCTGAGTGAAGTGAGCAGAACCAGGAGAACTTTGTACATGGTAACAGCCACATTGTGCTTTGATAGACTTAACCCTCCTCGGCAGTACAAGGATCTAAGACATCTCCAAAGGCCTCATGATGGAAAATGCTATCCACATCCAAAGAATGAACTATGGAGTTTGAATGCAGATGGAAGCATTCCAATTGCTATTTTTTTCTTCTGTTGTGTTTTGTTTCCTCTTTATGGTGGTTCCTCCTATTGGTTCTAATTCTTCCTTACAACATCACTAATGTGAAAATATGTTTAATAGGAATGTGTGTGTATATATACATACATACATACATACATACATACATATATATATATATATATATATAGTACCTCTATCAGATTACGTGCTGTCTGGGGAGGGAGGTGGGGAGGGAGGGGGAGAAAAATTTAATACTCAAAAGCTGATGGAAGTGATTGTTGATAAATCAAAATAAATTAATTAAAAAAAAGGGAAAACTAACCTATCAGAGCCCAGTGTCCAAGATTCAAGTGGGAGAAGGGTGAAAAAGATGAGGATAATAGCCAGAGTATAGGGATTATGGTTTGGAAGTGGCCTGATCTCCAGGGCTGCATCACCAAATGTTGGACATTTTCATTTGGATATCTCATCTGTATCACAAACTCATTATTCTTTCCCTTTAAACTCCACCTATTCCTCTACCTTTCCAAACTCCCCTATTTCTGTTAAGGGCATTACCTTTTACTTTACTTCACTTTACTTTCAGTCACCCAGGTTCACAAGTTTGTAATCATCCTGGACTCTAAACTCCCCTATCAAGTCAATTGCTAAATTTTGTTCATCCTTTCACCTGGATTTGGATTATTACAATACCTTCCTGAAACACAGGTCTGACCATACCACCCTTTTGTACACGAAGTTAAAATGGGTCACCATTGCCTTTAGGATAACCTGCACATTTCTTTATTTGGCCTTCAAAATCCGCCCCCCACAACTTTCCGGACTTATAGCACATTCTGCTCTCAGGTCAAGGTAGCCTGTTTGCTCTTCCTTGAACATTATGCTCTATTTCCCATCTGCATACCTTTGAAAGGTTTGTCCTCCTCACACCCAGAATCCACTGCCCTTCCATACTTAACGTTTCTTCAAGGTTCTGCTCAGGTTACAATTCCTATACAAGGCTTTTCCTGAACAGTACCCCCACCCCCTTCCTAGTTAGTGCTCTCCCCATCCTTATCCCTAGAACTTATATTGAATTTATTTTACATATACTTTGTATATAATTTTTCTTTTATTTATGTACATGTTGTCCTCTCTCCCCAGGTTCCCTCCCCCCAGTAGCCTGTAGTCTTCTTGAAGACAGGAACTATTTTTCATTTTTTCTTTTCATGCAGTAAAAGCTTAATAAATGCTTAGTAAAAGGTGTTAAATACTGCACAATTTTCTGAACTTCTGATCAGAGAAACACATACAGCATTCCACATTCAGGGCCTGACTATATTTTCAAAGTCAACTAAGGACATCTACATACTCATTATTCTCAATATTCATATTTTTCTTTATTAAGTCTCGCAGATCCGTAACATATTTTGTGATAGCCAGACTGATGGGCTTTTTTTTTGTTCATTTGTTTTAAGAAAAAGAAAGTGGGGGAACAGAAAGTAGAGACTTCAAGGAATAGCTAGGAAGACATTGAAGTTATCCAGGTTTGACTTTTTTGTGGATGATGATGATGGCAGCCATCTCTTAGATGGAAAGAAGTGTCAGGAGACTTGCTTTAACACCTTTCAATGGCTTCCCCCTCTCATCTGCCAGCTCACTACCCTCACCTCCCACATACATACAAACACATTTTTTTTCTTTTAAGGACAAGGATGTTGCATGCTACTATTCAACTGCTTTGCCTTCCCAAGTTCCACTTTCTGCAGGACCAGCCTGCTGGAAATACACTGTGAGGGCAGGAGAAGGGCTCTCTTCTACATTCTCTTGAAAACTTAATTAGAATCAGTTCCTGGAAAGGGCCCTGACTGCTAGATTCAAGTAATGCCAACTGAGGGAAGGGTCCACCAGCTGTTTTGAGTAAGGGTAGGAGAGGAACCTTTGACTGGTGGATAAGGAAGCATTGCCTCTTTCCATTACAGTTCAAGGTATCATATGATGAAGGGAATAATACTTGTATGTGTCTTGACTTACACTAACTGTGGTGGATTAGTATAAGATTTCATGATTCTGGTTAAAGAAGAAATTAAATCTTCTTCCATCATCTCCAGGTTAGCAGAGGGTGCATCCTCCTTCTCCCCCCACTTCCACTCCCCCACCCTCAATAGAAAGAACTAGAACACTAGAACAGATGATTTCTCCAATTCATTGAGATTCAAAATTTTTTTTTTGTCCTTGCCCTTCTCCTTTCCAAAAGGGGATTGGGTCTCAGTTGTTCTGACTCAGATATAAATCCCCTTATCCTTACAAAAATTCCCACAAGTCATAATGCTTTGTGCCTCATTTATGGGACCATCCCCTTTCCAGTATTCAGGTATGTAGGGAATTATTTTATAGTCATGTTAGGATCTAGTCTAAGAAGAAGCTTCATTATGTGTCAGGGAAATTCAGGGGAAGAGGAGACCTTTATTTAAGTGCAACACTCTGCAGTAATGCCAAAGAGAACACAGAATTCCAGTCAAGTACATTGCTTTGGTTATAAATGTTCTCTACCTTTTCAGAGTTGCTCATGTGTGAAATCCAACCCCCTGGCCTCCCTCTCTTCTTTCCTCCCCCAACACTCCTACAGTCAAAGCATCCCCAAGAGAGGGTAACCAGATTAGAAACATGGCAAAAAGGGACAGGTAGAATGTTAACTCTGGAAGAATTTTTTTTTTCAGGACACCAAGCAAAAGTGTGGGATTATACAATATCTGGTCAATTTAGTCGAGGTGTGGCTTGCCAGAAAGGTGCAGTATTTAAGTCTGAATAAATAAATGTGGTGAGCCATGTTCCATGCAGAGCATGTAGATTGGTACCATCCTTAGTGTTGTCTAAAGGAAATAGAGCACATGCCAAGGTAGACAATTCCTAGTTCTACCTTTGCATTCAGAAAAAAAGATAGAAAATTGATGATTTCCAAAATACTTCTTAGGCAAAGTGGATAGAGTCCTGGGCCTGGATTCAAGAAGATTTGAATTCAAATTTGGACTCAAGACAATTACAAGCTGTGTGACCCTGGGCAAGTCACTTAACCCTGTTGACTTCAGTTTTTTCATCTGTAAAATGAGCTGGAGAAAGAAATGGCAAACCCCTCCCCAAATAGGGTTACAAAGAGGTGGGCACAACTAAACAACAACAGGGTACTTCTTGAGAAACTGTTTTCAAAACAGGGTGAGCCTGGCTAGCAAATCATCACTTTTTAATATTATGAGTTAGGTGAATATATGCAGAAAGAGACTTTGATTAGAGCGTCCCAAATAAAAATGTATTT